ATCACCTTTGTTCTTATATAGTGGGACCACCGTACTCCACCTCCACTCATCTGGCATCCTCTTTACCTCAAAAATAACATTCAACAACCTAGTCAACCACTCCAAACCTGTTTTCCCCACACACTTCCAAAATTCTACCGGAATCTCGTCAGGCCCGGTCGCTTTGCCCCTACTCATCTTACTCATAGCTCCCACGACCTCCTCAACCTCGATGCGCCTGCAGTACCCAGAGTCAGCGTGACTCACGGAATGCTCCAATTCACTGATCACAATATCCCGATCCCCTACTTCATTAAGAAGTTTCTGAAAGTAAGTCTGCCATCTCCTCTTAATCTGGGAATCTTCCATCAATACTCTCCCATCGTCGTCCTTGATGCATCTCACTCGGTCTAAATCTCGAGCTTTCCTCTCTCTCAGCTTTGCCAGCCTAAATAACTTATTCTCCCCTCCTTTTTCCCCTAGTTCCTCGTATATACGACTATAAGCCGCAGTCTTAGCCTCTGTGACCGCCATCTTCGCTTCCTTCCTAGCTACCTTATACCTCTCCATGCATGCTCGCCTCTCCCCCTCGCCTATGCTCCCCCATAACGCCCCGTACGCCTCCTTTTTGGCTTCCACTTTACCTTGTACCACTTCATTCCACCACCATTCTCCTTTGTGCCTGCCGGAGACACCCGTTGAGACCCCTAACACCTCTCTCGTAGNCCCTCGCCTATGCTCCCCCATAACGCCCCGTACGCCTCCTTTTTGGCTTCCACTTTACCTTGTACCACTTCATTCCACCACCATTCTCCTTTGTGCCTGCCGGAGACACCCGTTGAGACCCCTAACACCTCTCTTGTAGCCTCTCTTATACAGTTTGCTGTCGTTGACCACATAGAGTTCGCGTCACCACTGCTTCTCCAAGCTCCCATAACCGACAACCGCCCTTCCAACTCTTGAGCTTTGTCCTTAGTTAAGGCTCCCCACCTGATTCTCGGTCTTCCTCGACCCGATATTTTCCTCCTCTTCACCATAATACCAACGTCCATCACCAAGAGCCTATGTCGCGTCACAAGTATCTCACCTGGAATCACCTTGCAGTCCTTGCACAAGCCTCTGTCGCGCCTCCTGAGTAGGAGATAGTCAATTTGAGTCTTCGCCACCGCATTTTGAAAAGTAACCAAATGCCCCTCCCTCTTTGGAAAGGAAGAGTTAGCAACCACCAACCCAAAAGCCTTAGCGAAGTCCAGTAACGAGGTTCCTCCTTTGTTCCTCTCCCCACAACCGAAGCCTCCATGCACTTCGTCATACACACCTGCGTTCGACCCAATATGGCCATTGAAATCCCCTCCTATGAATAACTTCTCATTAGGTGGTACCTGATGTATAATCTCATCCAACCTCTCCCAAAAGCGTCGTTTAACCTCCTCATCGAGGCCCATATGAGGCGCATAGGTACTTTAGGACATTTATGTAAGATTCCTATTTACTAAGACCCCCCCTCCAAAAGCCAATAACTTTGGAATATAAAGCATTACATAGTTAATATGACATCTAATCCTTTTGGAGGGTTAGATTCTTTAGATGCGTAGTTGGAGGAGGCTACAATAAAGAGTTAATAAAAGAATATATTTGATAAGGTTTAAAATTAGCAACAACAAAAAAACTAAATAAAAGAATATAAAAGGAAAATACAAGAGTCCATCTAATCTACTTTCTTATTATGCTTAGTCTTAGTTTTTGAACATTGCTCTCACTCTTGCCATCAGGTTAAGTTCTTAGTCAGGCTTGTAATTCACTTTAATTTTATTTGCTAATATTATTTATGTTCTTATTTATTTAATATTTTTGGGTCAAAACTGATTCGATCTCATGCTGGGCCAGGTCTTTTCCCTTTACTGCCATAGTGTTGGTCGTGATGTGCTCCTGTGGATTCGAATTCCCATCATACTTTGGAATATCGTCCATCTTAAACCTCTTTAGGATCAACTCCAGTGCCGCATTTGGTTTAAACGGCAACTACGTATACTTGTTTGAATCTGGACCCTTTAACACATACAACGTGCTTGGGATATGATCCATCCGAGCATGAAACTCCTTCGCGTTCTGATCCATTCGTACATGAATCTCTTGAGCTCGGTTTAAAAGGATCATTTAAGTTGTTATTACCAGTCCCTCCGGCCTCATCGAAACCGACCTCATCCCTTGGAGCGTTATTATCGGTTCTTTGAACCGTTTGATTTACGGGAATGCTGGGAGGAACCAGAACCCTTCCATTAGCATTATTGGAGGCACCCGATAACGCATGCTTCAATTCTGTCATCACACGATCTTGCCTTGAGAGGTGATCCATAATCGCCTTTTGTTGTTCTCTCAAGATTTTGACTGTTTCAACAACGTGCTCATCCTCCACATCATCTAGAGTTAGGCCCCTCATGTGTCGAGGATACTGGCCTTCGCTTATTGGGGTTGTCCCATCTCCTTCGTTGCGGGTTACGCTAGTTGAATCATCACACTGGAACTCATCTTCCCGCTCATTGTATGTTCCAACATTGTAGACATAGTTGACATAATTAGCTGTCATTTCTGATTTTTCTTTTACTAAGAAAAGAATCAAAACTTGTTAGTAACAAACGAATGGATCAAAGCAATTACACAACTGTTTATGCCCTACGGTGGCCGCCAAACTTTTTACCCATAAAACAGCACAGTTAAATTTATAGCGTGGTTTATAGACAAGTAAAACAATTTGACCCAAAACTATTAAATAAATAAGAATAGAAATAAGATTATCGAATGAAATTAAAGAAAATTACAAGCCTGATTAAAAACTCAGCCTTTCTGATGGCAAGTGTGAGAGCAATGTTCAAGCACTACGATTGAGCGTAAGAAGAAAGTAGATTATAACTTTTTTGTATGCAGAGTATTTCGTATCTACAATGGATATTAATCCTCCTATTATAGCTCTATTCAGGGAGACAAGATCCCCAAATCAAGCTCCTCTTGAATGAGAATAAAACCTTCCTTGATGGATGCATAACGGTTGGCTATAAATGCAGAAATTCTCTGTAATGGCTGCCCGTTAAATTGTATCCGATGGCAATTCTTTGAATCTTTGTTACCAGCTACTCTGTCTTCGGGATTCGTTCAGCACCGGTCGTATGCTTACATTCGGTGTCAGCTGTTTGCTGACTCACATCCCACCTGTCTTTATTTCCACGCGACATTCCGTCATTCGCCCAGCTGTCACTAACCAATTTTACCCCATACACTCAAGCCTCCATTGCAAACGACAATGTACTAAACTGAGAATCAAAAACCCATGTTCACATTTTTGTACAGGAAAGTCATAAAATACATGAAGAAATGTAGAGGTCTATAGACTCTGAACATATAAAAACACTTAATTGGCTAACATAGTAGTCCATTGTTCAGCAAAGCAGTACAACATACCATCAAGATTCAGGTAAAAGCCTATAATCACATTGTTTCCCTTCTGCCTCATGAGATAACCTATTGCTCCCATCATTTCTAGGTCCATTGTTCAGCAAAGCAGTACAACATACCATCATTATCTTGAAGTTGATCACACTCATAAAGGTAAGTAGCCAGAAATAGTAATCCAGGTGGCCCCTATTTATGTTGCTCGAAAGCCAGCTCGTTTTACCTCCGGTTGATATAAGCCAATCCACCCCACTCACCAGAATACTTTCAACCAAACCCAAAACAGCAGTCCCAATTGTGTACATAGCTGGTGCAATGCTGGCCATGCTCTTGGGTAAGATAGAGTAGTAGAACTCTATCTGTCCAACTGCATGGGCAGCCTCAGCCACTCCGAGTAGTGCATATTGTGGGACGAACCACATAGCTGACATGTTCACTAAAGCTTTTGGGTCGTCCTCAAGCCCTTGCTCTATTGCCCTTTGTCGTCTTATGCTTTCTGTTATTGCTGACAATGCCATAGACATACAGGAGATAACTAAGCCAAACCCCATTCGGGTGATAGGACTTAGCCCTTCTCGCTGTCCTGTATATTTTGATAGTAAAGGGACCAAAATGCGATCATACAAGATAAGCCAGATTGTTGAAGCAATAATCAGGAACGTAGAAAATGATGCTGCTGGTACTTCGAACTGAGGGAAGATATGTCTATCCATGGTCTTTGTTTGAAGTATGGAAAATGCAAATTGACCTATGGTCACAAAGATCATAATACCGCTGGACCACATGGGAAATATTCTGAAAAGAGCCTTCAATGATTCCACTAGTTCGACAGTGCAGAGACTCCACGGATTTGAAGCTGATCCATCAGGATTCAACTCTCTTTGAGGATCTTGAATCATGCAAGCTCTATTTAAACATCTATAACATGCAATATCATTTAGCATCGGAAAGGGTGAAAGAGTTTGTGACAGGAGTATTATAGCTGTAGTAGTGTGATTAATAGATCATAGACACTTCAAATCATAGTTTATTGCTTTACACAAAGTGAATGGCAAAGTTGAGGAATATTGACATTAAGGAAAAGATGGAGGCACTGACCTGAAGTCACTTGACGGTGCCACGAGCACTGTTTCAAGTTGCCGATGATGGTAGTAATCACAATCAGCCAATGCAAGACTGGTGTTTCTTTTCCTAAAAGCTGCTACAACTGCTTGAAACAATGCTATGAGCAAGCTTTTGTTGCGGAAGCCAAATGTATATAGTGTGAATAAGCCACAACTACTATACCAAAAATTATGA